TTTGTCACTGGATCGTGCGGCGCGCACTTGTCTATTGACGACAAGGACTCAAGCCTAGAGCGAAAGGAGGGTTCGTGGCACACAGCAGCACGGACCAAAGGTATCTCAACGAAGCACTCGTCAACAACGAGTACTAAGTCGGGGCTTGTGACGGCCGATATTTCGAAGCGGGCACAAGCGGGACCGACGATAAGGAAGGCGTCTTTTGAGGTTCTCTTGGTTTGGTGGGGAGGCGTTAAAACAAGGCAAGCACAATATTTATAAAGGCTTAAATCAACACACAAGTCTTAAAGCAAAGGCAACTCGGATAGGAGCTTTCATTCATTCAACCATTCGCCCCATAAAGAGCTTTATAGTGATTACATGGAGAAATACTAGTGAACGCTGAAACTACAGTAACACAATAATTTCCCCTAGAGCCTAGAAAGCAAAAAGAAAGACTTAGAAGACACTACATAAGGAAAATACAAGGAAAAAGGAAGGGGGATACATAGAGAAAGAGGCGGATTCTAACACCTAGCCTAAAAAATCATCTACTACAAGTATATAGCTAATAGGGACACTCACAAAAGCTTTAAGCTAAGTTCTTTCATATGGAAGGATATGGGGAAAGGATGGGAGCTATTTAATGACTCTGCTGCCCGGGTTTGATTCTTGGTGTTCCCTAGGCCACCTAAGACCTTCGATTCAAGTTCCTCTTTCCCCTTATGATGAAATCTTATGTGTAGGGCTGGTCGCCAGCCTTGGAAATTGGGATTTCTCTACTCTCTCCATTTGACTTCGCCCTCATATCACTAGAGTACTTTGTGCTATAAAGATCCTCCATAATTATCAAGATAACCTGATTTACTTCAATGCCAAAGAAGAGTCCTTTTAGGCCTCCACTATCTATATGAAAGAATCTAGCTATCCCATAATCCTTGGCAAACTCCTCTTGAACCTTGGGATTCCATCTGATCAACACAAATACCTCTAAAGATCAAGATCTTTCTTTGGAAAGCTTGCCACAAAGCCCTCCCAACCAGGGAGGCAATTCACAAGAGAGGACTTCCCTCCCCATCTTCTTGCCTATTTTGCCAAACTGTGACTGAAAGCCCTTGCTCTTGGGTTTTACGATGTTCCAAACACCGTGCGGAAACCAAAACCGGCCCCGGACCCATGCATAATTAATACGACTAATTGCATATAATAAAGCGCGCTTGGCCGATACACGAACACGAACCTTAAGACGCCTTGGCTACGGAGCAAGAATCACAATCGCAATCCCTCCAACGATATCCACCCTCGCGCCCAAACTTGGTTGAGATTAGTGGCTAGACTAAATCCCCACGTGACTTAGAGTTTACGCACTCAAGATTTTCTCACAATTAGGAGGAAATCCCTTAGAGTGCAACTCTTGCACAAATCCCCAAAACTAGCTGGGTATTTATAAACGTGGGATCACCAACCTAAAAGAAAACTATCAATGTGGGATTTCCATCTAAAAGAAAATCTTAGCAATTAATTTAAATAAAACATAAATTAAATTGCATAACCAAATAATCAAAAAAACACATGTTAATAAACTAGGAGAGTTAGGTGAGGAACACGAGGAGAGGACCACAAGCCTTACCCGCCCCCTAGGGAAAGCGGCCAGCTAGCCGGCGTTGCCTTGGGAAATAAGAGTACCTTGCTGGCAGCCCTTGTGCTCTCAACTAGGCCAACTAGCAAGCCCAAGCGCTGCTGCCGCAAAGAAAAATAGGTAGTGTTTCTACTCTCTTTTTGTATATAACATTTTAAAAAAAATATATAAATAATATAAACATGCCCATGAATAAGTACACACTTTAAAATGGGTATCGGGGGCAACGTCCAGAGCACATACTAGTATATATACAAAGGGGAGTTTTTTCCAAGTTTTTAGAGAGCCACGTAGGATTAAAATTTCTTAACGCGTCATGTAAGATTATAAATTTTAGTTATAGCCAATTAAATAAGAGATTTGTAATTTATTTTAGAATTAAATAATTCAAAAAGCGAATGAGATTATAAAGTTTAAATTAATTAAATATAAAAATATTATCTTTTGAGATTAGAAATTTTAGTAACTATATAACGAATGAGAGAAAATTCATAATTTATTTTGAAATAAAAATATTAAATAATATACTTCATACAACGGATAAAATAACAAAATTTATCACATAATACAAAAAACAATATTTGGTTTAAAAAATACAAACAAACCGTGCATAGTACGGGCTTCATCTAGTATAAAATAGTTTATACGCATCCGGATACAATGGCATTCAATGGTATTTTTCTGCTTATATAATAGTTTTCTTCTCACTTAATATTATTTGTTCATTTAGTAGGTTTATACATCAAAAATATTTATCACTCTATATCCCATTACATAGTCTACATAGTATAACAGAGTGTAAAATCTATTCTAATCATATCACTAATAAATAAGTTGGTCTCGCAGCCAGGCTATGAGACAGCAACACTTGATATTTCAGTTTTTCGCCAAGTGTCGAGCCACGTATGTGACAAATAGATATTATTGTGATTAGATTAGATGCCACGTTAGATTAGATTATGTTTAGGATAAAAAAAATATACATAAAATAATTTATAATTCTTTTGAAAAATAATTATCTTCTTATTGACAATAGAATTTTACTTATAGCAACAAACCACATATTAATATGAATATCCAATTAATAATAGAGTTTTACTCCTATACGGATAACCATGTAATTATAATTATAAATATGGCCATGTATCATTAATTTTTTTTAGTCTATCGTTGATTTACCATTAAAGCTTTTGATAAGGTATTCTTCATATTCGGTTGTAATGATTTTGTGTATGTTTGTGATTTTGTTAATGAAATTAAAAAAAAAAGTCAAAAACTACTAAAATTAGGACACAATTGAAATTGTACAATACAGGAGAATCTTAAAAAGAATTCAGATCAGATCAGATCAGTGTTAGCAAGGTATTAGAACTTTAAGGGCTTTTCACTTAAAAAGCGTTTCAATAATTTTTAAATTTTTTATGCTAATCTAATTTTATTTTTTTATTTTTTTTAATAATATTCTTCATTATCAAAAGGGTTTATTTGACCATATTTAACATTCAAACCAAAAAGTTTATCCTAAAATTTTATCAACAATTCGAGCATTGTCCGGGCACAAAAACTAGTCACATATAACTAATATATAAAGCTAAACTGTTAGCTAGACCACTACACAACGACACTTGGCGTTTTAACTTTTCGCCAAGTGTCGCGCCACGTTGGCGACAAATAATATTGTTTTGACACATAGGATTTATTTGACACATTGAATATATATTTTTTGAATAAAATATTTAGGTAGATTTTGTAGGATAAAAAATTTAGTTTAGAATTTTATTTTTCAATTAAATTTAGATAGAATTTAGGATAAAATTGTTAGTTTAGAGTTTTGTTTTTTTTTTTTTTTTTTTTTTTTGATAAAATACCAAATTTCATATATACAAAATAAATTATAATTTTATTCAAAAAAAATATATTAGATTATAACTCTCAATAATTATCATATAAATTTATTTTTTATACAAATCATACAATATCTCTTATAACATATTCTAATCAGTTGAAATAAAATACTTCACAATCTAATATAGTTTCATTACTATATGTAGACCTGTCAATTGGGTCGGGTTACGGGTCATTTCAAGTTGGTCACTTCAGGTAATGGGTTAGGAAATATTCAACCCTAACCCAAAGTTTTGGGTTCGGGTTAACCCAACGAGTTTAGAACAATTTTTTTATTTAATTATTTTTAGCTGATTTTTAGAAATTTATAATATTTCAAGCTTACTTTGCTATTTTTTTTATATATAATTTTTTAATAGAACATTTTCACAATTATTTGTCATTATATGCCTACTACATAATTTAAGTCGTCGCAAAAATAAATCAATTCCTAACTAATTTTGAATCTATGATATTTTTGTAAAATTTGACATATACATAGTAAAAATAAAGTTTATCTTAAAATTCAATAAATAACACGGGCATGGCACGGGCATAAAACTAGTATATATATATAAAGGCGATTTTTTTTCGGAGTTTTCAGAGAGTCACGTATGATTAATTTTTCTTAATACGCCATGTAGGATTATACATTTTTTTTATAACCAATTAAATAAGAGATTTGTAATTCTTTTAAAATTAAATAATACAAATGTCACATAAGCAAAATTGACGAATGTGATTTTAAATTTAAATTAATTAAATATAAAATATTACCTTTTGAGATTAGGAATTTTATCTAAATATATAATGAATGAGTGGAAATTCACAATTTATTTTAAAATAAAATTATTAAATGATCAAACTTGATCACATAATACAACAAATATTTATTTTTAAAAAAAATAAACAAACTGTCGCACGGGTTTCATCTAGTATATATATAAAGGGGAGTTTTTTCCCAATTTTTTACAGAGTCACGTAAAATTAAAATTTCTTAACACGCCATGTAAAATTATAAATTTTAGTTATACCCAATAAAATAAGAGATTTGTAATTTATTTTAGAATTAAATAATTCAAATGCCACATAAGTAAAATAAATCGATGAGATTTTATAGTTTAAATTAATTAAATATAAAACATTATCTTTTGAGATTAGGAATTTTATCCAAATATATATTGAATGAGAGAAAATTAATAATTTATTTTTAAATAAAAATATTAAATAATATACTTCGTATAACGAATAAAATAACAAAATTTATCACATAATACAAAATAAATAAATAAATATTTGATTTTAAAAATACAAACAAACCGTTAATCGTACGAGTTTCATCTAGTATGAAATTATTTATACGCATCTGAATACAATGGCATTCAATGGTATTTTTCCGCACATTTAATACAGTAGTTTTCTTCTGACTTAATATTTTTTGTTCATTTAGTAGGTTCATACAATTACTTAATTTTAATATACCCAAATAAAATTAGAAAAAACATGAAGCACGCAAATTCAAAAGTCGGCAAAGGGTGCCGGCACCGTTAAATTAATGAATTTTGTACATAATAACATACACCATAACAAGATTTGATCAATAATTTACAATATTCTTGGTCCCAATAAAAAAAATACTTATTCACTTATTGTGTCAAACCCGCATGTATATTTCTAGAATCATGACTTTGATGATTCCTTCAACTCTCCTACCTTTCTTGAACAATTCTTTAGTCCACGTTTTGTCTCAATTTTCTTCACAAATATTCCTTTGCATTTATTATTGTTTTCTTTTAACTCCTTAACTTTAGAAAATTCCACTTTCTCCCTTGATAACTCTATCCCTCCCACCTAAAGGCTGAAAACCGATGATGTTTGGTTGGCATGAAGCGCTAATTACTGCGATTTTCGCCGGACTTATGGTGATCATTTTCTTGATTCTGATTATTCGTCGAAAGTCTAATCAAAGAAGTATTGCAACAGAGCGTCATCAACAAGAAGTCGGAGTCGAAACAGAGGTTAAAACGACACCATTACAGACGGAAGAAAACAGCAAGAGAAGGCTAAGTTCTCATTTCTTCCGCCGTGGTTCGTCAACAAAATCATTCTTCAATTGGGCTGATCATCCAGCGTTGGTCACCGACGCTGTCGAGAATGGATGGTCACGATTCGCCTTTACTAGTTACGTGTCGAGGTCTCCGTCTGTTAGATCATCGCTGTTTGATAGTCTGCGAGTTACAGGTGATTTTTACAGCAGTAGAGAAAGCAGTAGTATTATTAATTCGACTAGTATTAATCAGGTCGAAGAGAGTTGGGAAATTGGTTCAGGATCAGTTGATTTTATGCAAAAGTTATCATTTAAAATCAAAGGCTTAAACCTTGGTGGTGGAGCCGTGGCTGCAAGTTCATCTTCGGTGGCGAAATCGGTGGTGAGGATGGCGCTACCTTTGCCAGGGCCGCCAATGGTTCAATCCTTTCCGCAGGAGGCGTATTTTGAGATAAATGTTTTGAACTCAAATGAGGATAACGTGAAGTTTAATGGTGAAGGTGAAAAAACGAAACTGTTGTTTCAGCGTAGTTTTTCTTCTACGGCGAGTTCGGGGATTGGTAAGACGCAGGAAGGGTTGTTTCATGTGAGTAGTAGCCGAGGGTCTTACTTGTTAGAGGAGTTGAAAATCGGTGGCGGTGGCCGAAGAGGAGGAGGTGATGGTGTGAAGATGTCAATAGGACTGAGTGTTGGGGGTTTCGTAACAACTAGGATTCCGGGGAGTTATCCTGGCTCTATTGGATTCAATTCTGATGGTTCTGTTTTTCTTGGAGGTAAGTTTCAATTTCGTCTTGTTTACTTTTATTTATTTATTCATTTATTAATATTATTTAATTAATTTTCGTTAAAAAGTTATATAATATGTGTTTGTCTAATCATTCTTTAAACAATCCATTTAAAAAAAAATAGCATTCTTTAAATACAAAGTTTTAGGCTCTCTTAGGGAGAATGCTCCAAATTCTAATTAGATCATTTCTACGAGCTCTATAAGGAAAAAAATTGAAATAAACTTCCCAATAATTGTATACCATCAATAACTTTTCCAATAATTATTAAAGATTTTTTTTTATTTTATTTTTATTTATTTATTTATTTATTTTACCTTGGAATTAAGGATATGTCTAATGCATTAATAGGGATACATTCTAGTATAATGTGAAGCATTAAAATTGTTATTAACTTTTTCAACCATCTATTATAACACAAACTTTCATATGTGGTTGGCCACACCGCGTCACCAACCACTTTTTTTTTTTGAAAAAAATGGTCGGGATTATTTGGTCAGGGGTTATTCGGTTAATCAGGAGTTACTCACTCGGTCAGTTTGTTAGGGGTTACTCGGCCAATAAGGGGATACTCGGTCGGTCAGGGGATACTTTGTCAGAGGTTACTCGGTCAGGGGATACTTTGTCAGAGGTTACTCGGTCAGGGGTTACTTGATCGATTAGGGGTTACTTATGTGTTAGCTGGCAATAAGGTGTAGCCAACCACACACAAAAGTTACTGTTACTATAAAGCTAGCGTTTTAAACAAGATAAGGATCTCCGGCTCGGTATCTGTACATCTAAGCATTCCTTGCAAAATTTAAACAACAATAATTATATGTTCAACAAAAATTATGTATTGTTTTTCCTAGTAAAATTAGTTAAATATCAGTATTGGTATTAAGAGCGCGGTTTAGATCCTATCAAACTGAAAACCCAATCATATTTTTGTAGTTTAATGCAGTTTACAGTTTTAAAATTGTGGTGCTGACTTTGCAATTTAGGTGCGGTTTACCAAATTTCTAAAGCCAAATAACAATCTAATTTGATTTGTTGACTCGAACTATAAATTGCAAACCATAAACTATATTTATAATTTAGTTTTGTAAAAGAGCCAAAAAATTTCTTAAAGGAATTTAGCGTTACCATACCATTTCAATGAGCCATATTTGAGGAATTTAGTGATGCAGCCATAATATGCTGTTACCATGCCATTTATCTGTTGTAGACATAGACCAGACACTAAGGTGAAAGAGTATAAGTTTATGCAATACTCCCTGTGTTTTTTTTAAGTGTTATATTTTGATCAAACACGCACGTTGAAACTCGACTTTGACCATAAATTAGCTAGTAAAATTATAGAAAATTTGATATTATGAAAGTAAACTTTATGACGAATCCAACAATGTTTTTTTTTTTTAATTCAAACGAGGCAAAGCCAAAAATTACAAGAAAAACAACAAGAAAGCAAAAACAAACAAACAAGAACAAAATAGAAAAAACTACATAGGTACTAGGTGTGGGAAAGCCACTCCCCTAACATCCTCCGCTAAAATACTACTAAGGCCTAAAGGAATAAAATTAAGAATAACAAAATCCGTGTCTTGAGAGACTCCGCGGTTGGCCAACCAATCCGCCGCGCGATTTCCTTCACGATAAATATGAGCTATTTTGACTTCCCTGACATTATTTAGCATCCCCAAGCATTGATTTAACTCATGCACATTCTCACCATTTAGAGGTTTTCCCTGCCTTAGGATTTGAATGGATGCAAGATTATCTAATTGTACTTCCAGCCGCTCAATAAGTAGGTTTTTCGCTATTTCAAGGCCTCGGGTTAGAGCTAAGACTTTGGCTCTGAAGGCTGTACAATGACCAAAATTAGCAGAGAAATAAGATTGCCTTCATGGTCTCTAATGATCCCTCCACCCCCTGCCAGCCTTGGGCACCCTTTAGTAGCACCATCACAATTAAGCACATACCATCCGCAATTAGGAGCCTGCCACGAGATATGCTGGTGTTGCTTCGCTTGCCTGGAATGAGGAGCATCTTCTTGATTATTTAAGCTGCGAAAAACCACATCTATTCGTATACGAATAAATGCTCCCATATCAATAGGAATTTCATCTCCTATGTTAAAAACATAGCAGTTTCTCCACCTCCACACCCACCAAACAACAGTACCAAATAGTGTAGGCCACCCTTGATCCTCCATTTGACCAGAATCTTTGAGATTATGGGATCCAATCTTTCAAAGACCCATGAAAGAAGCCACAAGACAGAGTTAAAGTGAAAACTAAACGCCAGACTTGTTTAGCTGCGGGGCAATCACTGAAGATGTGAAGAGTGCTCTCCTCCATGTGACCACAAATAAATCACTGAGGGTCATCGGTGAGTTGCCTTTTGAACCTATTTTGGTTCCCAAGGATCTTGTCATGGCAAGCCAGCCATAGAAACGCACGAACACGCTGCTGAATAGGGGCCTTCCACACAAGGATCCAGCATTCTTCATCAAGAACATCCGTTTCATGGCGCATGATACTAAGAACGGATTTAATGGTAAATTTACCCTTCGAATCACCCTTCCAATAAATTAAATCACCTACATTCAGGTCTGCTCTAACCTCATGATTTTAAATTAGCTTGAATGTATTCGAATCTAAAAAAGGAGCAAAGATATTCCATCTCCACCCATGATCAACTTCCCACATTTCTTCCACGTTTGCCCCTGCTAATTCCATGGGGATAGGAGCAGTAGTCACATCACTTAAAGGCTTGTCAGTAGCCCAAAGATGATCCCAAAAAAGAGTGTGAGCTCCAATACCAATTGTTGTGTGCATACCCTTACTCAAAAGCTTATCGTTCTCAGTTATGTCGCTTCAGACATTTGACATTCCTTGTTTCGGTTCAAACATACCAACATCACATCAACCCTTGCAATACTTAGCTTGAAGAACAAGCGACTACAAAGAGTTAGGTTCGGCTAAAATCCTCCAACCCAACTTAGTAAGAAAAGCCGCATTGGCTTGCTTTGCGGATGTAATTCCCACACCACCTAATTCTTTTGGTTTTTACAACACTTCCCATGAAAAAAGATGGATTTTCTTTCGATCCTCGCTTCTACCCCAAATAAATCTCCGAGTTTTCTTATCAATATCCTCGCATATGGTTCGGGGAATTTTGGCTAACTGCATAGAATAGAAGGACATATATATAGAAGATAATGTAGATTTAGCAAGTGTAATACGGCCAACCAATGATAAATATTTCGACTTCCTACCACTAAGCCTTCTGTCGATTTTTTCGCAAAGATGGTTGTAAGTCTCCCTAGTGACCCTACTAGTAAGCGTAGGCATCCCTAAATACAACCCCAAGTCAGCAGTAGCTTCCACCCCCAAAGCCGAACATATATCCTCTTGGTCAGAGATAGTAACATTCTTCGAAAAGAACACTCGAGATTTAGGTAAACTTACCTTTTGACCCGAGGCAGAGCAAAAGTGATTTAGGCATGAACGAATCAATTCAGCTTGATTAATATTCTCTTCCATAAAAAGAATGATGTCATCGGCAAAAAATAAATTTGACAAGGTAGGACCATCCCGACTTGCTCTAATGGGTTTCCAAAGGTCGTGAGCAACAGCCTCTTCAATGACTTGATAAAATCACTCTATGCACATTACAAAAATCTATGGGGAGAGAAGATCTCCTTGCCGAATCCCCCTACTCAGTTTGAAACTTTGGGAAGGTTCACCATTCCAAAGAACTCGAAAAGAAGCAGTAGTGATGCAATCCATGATAATATCAATCATAGTGATAGGCAAGTTCATTTGTACAAGAGTGTCACGAATAAAGGACTAACGGAGACGATTATAGGCTTTCTCGAAATCAATCTTTATATCCATGTATCCCTTTGCCCCTTGCTTCCTCCTCATAGTGTGTAAAACCTCTTGCATTATGACAATGTTGTTAGTTATTTGACGACCCGGCACGAAACTTGCTTGAGTATTTGAGATAAGAAAAGGCAAGACTAGTTTCAAGCGATTAATAATCACTTTAGTGATAATTTCATATGCTACATTGCATAAACCAATTGGCCTAAATTGCGAAGCCAATTCGGGTTGGTCAACCTGGGGAAGAAGAGCAACGAATGTTTCATTAAATCCAGGAGGAACGCCTTTACCTTCAAGAATAGGGATGAGAGTATCACACACAGTTTGCACCACTATATCCCAATTCTTTTAATAAAAGAGAGCTTGAAAACCATCGGGGCTAGGAGCCTTTAACGCCCCCATCTCCTTTATAACCTTATCAATTTCTATTATTGTGTAGGTCCGAGTGAGAAAATTCCAGTCACTACTTCGAAGCTCCAGAAATATGTCTTGAAGGACATCAAAAAATTGCGGATCACCTTCCTCTGTGAATAAGGTTGTGAAATAATTCACAATATGATTTTGAATTTCGCATTTGTCTTAAATCCAATTGTCATCCGCATTTTTAATTGCTAGGATTTTGTTCTTCCATCTCCTAACAATCGTGCTCAAGTGAAAGAAAGTGGTATTTCTATCACCATTTTTAAGCCAATCTATAGAGATTTTTGATACCATAAGGTCTCCTCCCTTTCAAGAATCTCATCAAGTTCTTTTAGAAGCCGAGACTCCAATTTAATCAAACCCCTATCTACCTTCAGCGCTAGAGATTTTTGGATGCCCCTTATTCTCGCAAGAAGAATCCTCTTTTGCTTAAAAATATTGCCAAATACATTCCTGTTCCAGATTTGTAAGTCACTTGAAAGTTTGGTAAGTGCAGGCATAAGAGAGCTACTAGAATCCCAATTGTTATGCACGAATTCTTTGAAGTTTTCATGAGACATCCAAGTTGCTTGAAATCTAAATGGACGATGCAAAGCTTGTAGAGGAGAAAACCCATTAGGGAATATAAAAATTGGACAATGGTCAGAATGGAAGGCCATAAGATGTTTCATAGATGCTCTGTTAAAGTGCAAAGCCTAATTTTCATTGCATAACGCCCTGTCTAATCTACCACTTCGGCGTGTCTCAGGAGTTAACCCTCGTGCCCAAGTATGGGCCGCACCTGAAAACTCCACCTCAATGAGATCCATATCTTCTATCCAAGAGTTAAACATGGCTGATCTTCGAGTAGTCTCTGCACACGAACTGTTTCTTTCAGAAGGGAAGCGAGTGTCATTAAAATCTCCTGTTATAAGCCATGGTTTATTATGAGATGCAGCAAAAGTCTTGAGCTCCTCCCATAATTCTTTTCATTGTGAAGGGTCAAGGCTTGCATAAACAGCAGTAAAGTACCAAGGGACAGCTCCAATTCTTGTAATATTCTTACTAATATGTTGTTTATGTTGTATGATCAGATTCACAGTGACCAATTCAGGTTTCCAGTACACCCAAATGCCACCACTAAAGCCAACTGCATCAACTTGAGTATGACCAGAGTACCCCAAAATCGAGGCAACTTTCTCAGCTTGCGCACCTCCCATATGAGTCTCAACAAGTGAGAAGACATCTGGTTGGTTAGCAAGCACCAAATCACTTAAAGAGGAAATAAAATTTGTATTTCCCGCACCTTGAACATTCCACACCATGTAAGTAATTGGTAACGAATCCGAAGCTAAATTTGGTAGACTATCTTCCATAGAAACTGGTATAGAAGTTAACGAAGACATGTAGGCTTGACTAATGAATCTCAACAAGCGTTGAAATTCATTGGGAATCTTCAAAGTGGCCACCAATTCCGGGGGATTCGAGATTGGTGGTACCATAGATTCTAGTTGCATCTCTAGAACATGAATCAGGGGGTTTATGCTCACAAATATATCTACTCCAGAGGTTGACCTATGCATAAAGTCTTCTCCGGGGGTGTCTTGAGGGAAATCAAGGAGTGTGTTTGAGACATGGGTGTCACTAGAGGAGAGCTCAAAGTTTGCATCAGATTACTTCTCAATAGCTTGGGTCTGCACTGTAGGGACTTGTTGTCTAGCTTCTTGATTAGCTTGGAATAAAAACGAAGAGTTTTCTTTTCCTTGCATGGGGTTAGGCTCAATTAAGGCAACATCTGATTGGATATTAGTATCAATATCCTGGAGTGGCATGGAAATATTTTGAGAGGATTTCTTTTCCTTAACGAATCCAACAATGTATTATATAATAACATCTGTTTTTGAAAAATTAGTTATATAATCAAGTCACAATCATTATGTGAATAGTGAATAAAGTCAAATTGTAACACTGAACGAAACATAGAGGGAGTAGCACAAACTAATGAATCACCTTGATGGGTTGTATCATTAAATCAATGTGATACTCTTTCTTTTCTTTTCTTTTTTATTCTCTTTAAATTCAAACACTTTAACTGGCATGGAGTTTTATGTTGTTGATTTGAATTTGTTAAAAGTCTATGTAAGTGTGATTTGTTAGGAAATTAAAAAATGCTAAAAAATTAATAGTAGGTGAATATTTTATGTAAAAGTTAAAGATGTGAGTGAATGAAAATATTAAACAAGTATGAGTGGAGTATGAGTGGAACCATGTAAGGAGATAAATATAGTAAAATAATACTGTGTATAATATAAAATTTTTTGTAAGAAAATATTACAAATTACACAAATTCTTATATGTGATTGTGCACATGGTGTGGCCACTCAACATGGAGGTTACATCATTAGTGTTATAAGGCTTACTCGGTCAATGTCACAGAGGGCTACTTCGTGAGTGTTGTAGGGGCTACTCGATCAGTATTTTAAAGGCTACTCGGTTAATATTACAGGTGTTACTCGGTCAGTGTTATAGAGATTACTTAATTACAAGCATACAATGGTGTAGCAAGGCCCACACAAAATATGGTGTATAAATAAATAAAAAATAGCTGATTATAAAAAGTCTTGCAATTAAAAAAAAAAAAGTAGCATCACTTGCCTATTGTTTTCTTTAAATTGTAAGAAAATTGGGCCAGAGACCAGAATGTCCTGGCTCAAATGTGGGACAACAATGCCTAAAAGAGAAACATTAATTTTAGTCTTACTAAGTTACTATAGTTTATGTAAGAAGTAAAGACCCAAGGTGATTAAGTGAGTATCACCAATTCACCATTACTGATAGTGCTAGTATACTTCTTACGTATCCGATTAATTTTAACATTTTTTTCATTCATTTTTTTTTTTATCACCCCATTCATTCATTTTTTTTGTCAACATCCTTTCTATTTTGATATGTTCTTTTTTCATTTTCCTACTTTTGCTTTAAACCTTTTATGCTAAGAAAATTTTCAACTTTTATCGCTCTTTATCTCATTACATAGTCTACAAATAATAACAAAGTATATACTAATATTGAAATTTTTAAACAACTCTCTCTTTCTTACCTAAAAAGTAATTAAAAAAAAAAAAAAACCACTTAACATTAACTACTTTATTTTATGTAAACAGTAAATGGAAAATAATAAAAAAGAAATATTATTTCTCTTTTTAATGAACCCCACTTTCACTAATTTTATACTAACCATTTCTGCACACAACGCGTGTCGGGGTTTTATTAATTTGGTCTCCAACACATTTTCTGCGTGGCTGGCCACACCGTGTGGCCGGAATTATTTATTCAGGGATAACTCAGTCGGTGATGGGTTACTTGTTCAAGGGTTACTCCATCAGTATTTACTTGGTCATGGGTTACTCAGTTAGTAAGAGGTTACTTGGTCAATCAGAAATTAATCGAGGGGTTGCTTATTCAGGGGTTACCTTGAATAAATGACCCTGGCCACATGGTGTGTTTAGTCTTTAACAAATTATTTATTGTGAAAACGTCCTAAACAAAAGATAAGTTTGACAGATAAAAAATTAAATGTAGAAGAATTCATCAGTGTGATATTTGTTATCAAACAATACTTATTAAGGGTTTACGATAGTAACGAATGTGTGAAGAATATGTAATTAGAAACAATAAGAAAGATATAATATCTATACTAATATATTAAAAGTCGTTCCTAACAAAGTCTATGTGCCATGCAGATCCTCTCACTTACGCCATATCACCTATTCAAACTCTCATTATGCCACATCACCACTCAATCAACCTTAATTGTTATGCCATGCCACTACTACTTCATATAAAAACATAAGCATAAGGAAATTTGAACACCCAACCTCTTGTAGAAAATATGGTTATTTAACCATCTAAGCCAATTAGCAACCATATTATAAATATGAAAGCAAATATATATAATTGAAAATCATAAAGACTAATTAAAAAAGGGAAAAAAAAAAGAACCCAAAAATATTAAAAAACATATAATCACAAATTTTAATTAAAGTAGCAACCCGGTGCAACGCTTGGACCACACACTAGTTTCTACATAATAATATGCTAAAATTGGAATACAACTCTTAAAAAAAAACCTATTAAGGCATATGTAACTATAAAAAAAGGAGTATCAATAGTAATGACAACAAATTACTCAACCAAAGCCTATCTCTTATAATTTTGTGTAGCAATAATAATTCGAACTAATGTGGGAAAGAAGATTAAAAATTACTCCGTTTCATATTACTTATAACGATTAGACAATTTTTACTCACATTTTATGTCAAATCATTACAAATAATATGAAAAAGGAGGTAGTATAAAGATTTCTGATTTAACATTATTTGACATTAATATATCATTATGATTAATCTTTGACTTTTCAGGTATGAAACTTGTATTTGAATCTGAAAATGAAGATTGGGCTAAAACTGGAAGGGTAATTGGCTGTGGATTTGATCCAAGAAAAAAGGAGGTTTACTTCACAGTTGACTCAGAGCTGGTGCATGTAATACATTGCAAGTCAGAGGATTTTGAGAGGCCATTATACCCGGTTATAGCTACAAAAATTGGCATAACTATGCTAGTGAATTTAGGCCAAAGCAGCTTTAGTTATCTTCCTGCAAATGCACACAGGACCCCAAATCCATGTTTCATTGGTCCCGTCGTAAACTCATCTGCAGCAGCACTCGGATACGAAGACAGCAAAGAGTTGTTTTCTATGGGAAGAATTGATGCTGAGTGGCTTAGTCATAGTGCAACAACTAAAAGTACAGTTAGCTATAATAGTGACCTTTACAACAACACTAGGATTAACAAAATGGACGAGTATGAGGATGAAACAGAGGCCGAATTTATTGAAATTGTTTTAGATAGCACAAAACGGTGACTTGGGATAGTATAAACAACATTATGACATTGACATTACAAATTTTTTGCTAACATAAGTATATGAAAATTTATGATATGCAATTTCATTGTTGAACTGAGTAGGAATGTACGTACCTTCAATATTCATCATACACAAGGCAACTAAAATAGTTGCATGTCTTTCATAACTCCCTTTTTCTTTTCTTTTTTTTTTCTTGTACACTTGTATGCATGTATACTAAGCTAGCTTTGAGCAAGTAATAAAACTAAATCAAGGTGTAATGACAACTTCAATTACTTCTTTCATATCAATTTTCAATGTTCATAGAAAGGTTCAGGGTGAGGTATATAGGTTGCTCAGTTTGCCATGGAGTAGAGAAAATATTGAAACAAGTCTCAAGAGCAGTTCCCCTCCCTCTCCCTTTACCATTTCCCTTTTCTCTTCCTCTGCCATTTCCTTTCCCCTTTCCTCTCCCTCTGCCTCCCTCACTTCTCTTAGTTGTTTAAATTGGCCAATTGAGTATAGTTCATAAGTTCAATATCACCTCATGGATGTATCCTCTTTATCATGGTTAATAACATAATCTGGTCCATAAAAATCAAATTCAGGTGCAAATGGAGTTGTGTTTTTACTAATAACCTCAAATTTCTTGTCAAATTCCAAATTTTTTTTTTTTTTTTTTTTTTTTTTGACAAAGAGTTCATAAACGAAAAGCAAATTACAACCTAACATACAAGGCTAAAAGAAACTATAAAACAACAACAAACCACACACCAAACCAAACTCACAAACCAAACAAGAAAAAGAAAAGACACTTGATGATCCACAACGGAACAACATGCCAAAACAATCCCAAAGTCAAGTCTTGCCAGTTAACTAGAAGAAAGAAGGCACCCAATGACCATCCAGATCTTTATTCTGGACCCATACACGCCATATTATTTGGAAACCTTGGGAAAAACTTTGATTAACGGTTAATATATGTGATGGGAATTGAACCTTGTAAAGAGATTGCAGCAAATTCAAGAAGGAAGCTGTTGAGAGTTGAAAATATCGGAAGATGAATGCACTGCACCATGTTGACTAAAAAGAGAAACTTGACACCACTCCACTCCAAGGGATCGAAAAACATAACTAAGTGATTCATATTTCTTACTGACTCTGCCATGAGAAACCTTGCACGAATATTCAGGTTCTCTTCTTTCAACTCCACCAAAGGAGGGTGCAAGACATTCGGGGACTTTGCTTACCCCAAACATTTAAGATACGAAGCCTCCTTCAAGATAGAGATTAAAAACGATAACTAAATTTGTCATCACAAACACCAACAAAGGGATGAAAGCAACTGGTATATTGCTTAGATCATCCTGTAACCAAAGCACAACAGGAAAAGCAAACACACCTCTCCCCTCAATAAATCATGGACCATTGCTTGAGAATCCAAAAAAGGATCTCAAACTAATACTTCCATTAAACGACAACCTATGTTAAATTTAGTAACATCCTTATGATAAAGCCTACTTTGACTTCTATCCCCTAAAGAAAGGAAAAAAGAAAATCCAACACCCTGCCTAAATTCCGAAAACTAGTCGAAGCTTCCTCCTACAAAACCCACACAAATAACACAAACCTGGAAACCCATAAATAGTAAATCCAACAAGCAATTATAAATGTCCAAGAAACACCGAGGAAAACACCAAAAAAACTAACTAGTTAAAACAACAGAAGGCAAAACACAACCATTTAATTTTAAGCCTAGTTCAAAAGAGTCTGTCTCAACCCAGCAAGGTGTCGTGGGAATTTCGTCCAGCACAAGGGCATGCTCGCCATTTCACGCCTTTATGAATGTACAAAACATTGTATATAAATACAATATACGTATACTAATACCCATAAATAAGAAGGCATATCGAGACTATCAAGCATTTACATAACAAAATATAGTAAATATCGACAAAGTAAGCTAAATACAGAAATTCAACAAACACCACACCACTCCATTCCACAAATATGCACCTACCCCCTGCACTTACGCCAACACCAGCTGCACCACAACACTAACAAACCATTCCCAACCACCCACAAACCCAACACCACCAACTAACGCACCACCCTCATCACAGCACCTCAAACAACTGCCCACCAGCCCTGTCCCCTCCCCCTTTTCCACCTACAGCAGCAACAATTCACACCACCAGCCATCTCCACCTCTCACCACAAAAATACACCACCAATTCGCACAACCGCGCCACACCAGGACACCTTTCACCTCCACCGCATCATCAAAACAACAGCAGACCAACCACCATAATGAACCCAAATACAAAATAACACAAAAAACACACCAAAATTCAAGAAAATTTCAGCTTCAATTCAACTACACTATAGTTAAAATAACTTAAATTCAACTACTAGACCCCACTAAAGTTCTTCTACATTCAAAGTCCAAATTCAACTAGAATATTAGCTAAATTCGAGTCAAGTTCGAAGTTTATTCGACTACCATTTAAACTAATTCAAATTCAAAGTCAACATTACCTAAATTCGAGTATATTGGAGTAAATTAAACTGAATTCGAGTATAATTCAACTAATCCAAACTTAAATTCAACTATATTAGCTTGCATGCAATCTAATCGAAACGAACGTGAACCCTAAATCCCTAAATCCGCAACAATTTAGTAACCTTAAAACAGAAATTCGCTAACCAAACACAAAACACAATTTATCCACAGTAAACCCTTGAAATTAAGAGCAAATTCGCACCAAAATTCGTAAACACAAGTGCAAACAAACTAAAATCAAAGAGAAGAAAAACCTTGTCGCCGCTTCAATATTTAAACCTTGAAACCACACCCTAAAGAAGCCTAGCCGGAAAGATGATGTAGCTTCTACCTGAAGAACAACAGTAGTGGGAAAACGAAATTTCAATGGAAAAGGGAAGCTCTTTTGTAACTCCTTGTAAATTTCTTTCCTTTAAATATGAAATAGAAAATTCTAAAACATTACCGTCACCGTAAAAACGGCTAAGACAATTATGAAAGATACAGCAGAAAACTTGTTTTAAAAACCATTCAAAAATAAAACCAATACTTGAAAGTCAATCAAACCAAAGTAAAATCAAACCAAAGTCAAACGTAGTCAACCTATAATTTGGAACCATTGTAGGTCCTTTTCAAAACCCAAACAAATATTAAAATCATTGTGTTAGTCTTATAAGCAAATATATAATTATTAAAGCAAATTAAACACATCATATTCTTATGGAAGTTAAACAAGATTCGTCCTTCATGAAAATGCTCCATCACTTGAAAAGCTTCTCTTTACTTTGTTCTCACTACTCGCCATTAGAAATAGGTCGTCATAAGGCCAAGATAACGACAATGCCAAACAAACGTACAATACACACATTTAGCAATGCTGAGTATATAAGCATAAACGATTCACACTAACATATATACATCCTAGAAACACACAACTTACCTTGTCGCACCTGTTTACAAGCATACAACACACATTTCATTCAATAGACATTTTCATTGCTTATTTAATTTGATTACGCATCGAACAGGTTTCCCCCTAACCTGCCGCAATAAAGGGGTAATAACACTGGACCTAACCGTGCCATTATAAAAGAACCACTCATAAGTGACGGAATTCCTACACATATTAATAAAAAGTAAAATACAACGTCCTGTACTCCCATTAGAAGCTATGGTTAAATATAAAACTCCATAACTCCCCTCATATGTTCATACTCGAGGTATATACGTTACAAGAGTTTTGGTGCGTAATCTCTTTCACTTTACGTTGTTTACATATTTTAAACTTGGTGATGACTCTCAATCCACAACACAATCAATCATCATAAATCATTCAAGCAATCAAACATACCAATTTAATTCTTGAATAATTAGCGACCACATTTAGTTTAATGTTGAATCCTTTTTAAACTACCTCAACGTTAAAATAACACCTTAAGCGTATAATGCACCACAAATCCTATCCCTCGCTGTTTAGAACACCTACCTTAAGTGCACATAGGCGCCAAAATATAATTTAATCCTCGTGTACATAGACACTTAAATAACTCTTTTCTCATGCTTATAGCATCAATAAAAATTATATGAACCATAATAAAGTTCCCTTTTTATAATCCAAACCAAATTAAACATTTAGTTTAATCAAACATGCTCTTGATCATGCCAATAATAAAAGTGTGGTCGATATTCAACATGCCATCATAATTAATTCCAATCAATAATTCACCTCAAATAATTCATGCTTTCCAAATCAATCACCAAAATCAATCCAACTAATAATTCCAATCAATACTTATCATGATACTAACTTGGAATTAATTAAACAAGTCCTAGCATGCTTCTACACACTTAAACAATTACCGAGTACGCGAACGTACCTCGAATATGATCTCAAAATCGCCACGAATACACGAAATCACTCACTTGGAAGTATCCTACAACCCAAAATTATAAAGAGACAGTAATACCTATTCATAATAAATTTCCAGCAATATATACACTCTTTAAAACACTTATAAATCTTCTAAAACATACTGGAAATTAATTAAAACCATCTACTTTTATTCCCAATTAATGGGTAATTAAAATATCTTCGAGAAAACTTAATTCTAGTCTCTATATAAAAATTCCAGCATTTATAAAAACTCTTAAACTTGTTGTATTTTAGTTTAAAAACATTATTTTTAATAGTATTAATCAACCACCATTAAATTCCACCAATAAACATCAATTTAGAAACCCAGAGTTTATCAATTTGGAGCTTTTTAATTCAAAAATCAAATATGAAAATTATATACATATTAATCATTATTAAAACATCATAAAATCATCACACACACCCAAAAACAATAATTAATTAAAAATAGATTGATTTAAAACAAAAGAAGATATATATATATATATATATATATATATATATATATATATATATATATATATATATACACAACCGCACGCACGGGGGAGGGGGCGGCTGCTGCCCTCCACGCTGCCGACTGTTGCTGCTGGTGGCGGTGGCAGGCCGGTGGAAAGTGGTGGTGGTGACGGCCGGCCACCCTAGTGTGCGTGTGCGTGTGAGTGTGTTTGAAGGAAAAGAGAAAAATTAAGGAGAGAGAAAAATAAGAGGAGAGAGAGTTTACCTTTGGGTATTCTCCATCTTGAGCAAAGTCTAATTTGCTCATAAGATGGGTATTTATACAATCTTTCAAACCTTCTTAACTTATTTTCCCCTTTTATCCT